AGGAAAAGGGCGTAGGGGTGCCGTGATGATGTGTGGGGCTGAGGTATGGGGCGGGAGGGGGCACAGCACACTGAGACAGTGTGTAGGGCTGTATGGGGCAGGGGAGGGGCACAGCAGTACTACAACAAAATGTGGGGCTGGGATATGGGGCAGGAGAGGGGCACAGCAATACTACAACAGTGTGTGGGGCTGGGATATGGGGCAGGAGAGGGGCAGAGCAGTGCTTACAACAGTGCATGGGNNGTGTGTGGGGCTGGGATGTGGGGCAGGAGAGGGGCACAGCAATACTACAACAGTGTGTGGGGCTGGGATGTGGGGCAGGAGAGGAACAGAGCAGTGCTACAACAGTGTGTGGGGCTGGGATGTGGGGCAGGGGAGGAGCAGAGCAGTGCTACAACAGTGTGTGGGGCTGGGATGTGGGGCAGGGGAGGGGCACAGCAATACTACAACAGAATGTGGGGCTGAGGCTGGGATATGGGGCAGGAGAGGGGCAGAGCAGTGCTACAACAACATATGAGGTGGGAGAGGGACACAGTGGCGCTGTGCTGATGTGTGGGGCTGAGAGGTGGGCTGGGAGAGGGGCACGGGGGGGCAGTTGGGACACACAGCCCCCGTCCTCCCTCTGTGCTGTGTGACACCGGTGCTGCCGCTCTCTGCCCCCCGTCCCCCACCCCTCCTCGGGCCGTTTTTTGGGGTCCCACATTTGCCCCACTCGCGCCGCAGCGGTGGAGGGTTGGATCCTTTTTGTCACCGGCGTTCACGAGGAGGCGACGGAGGAGGACATCCACGACAAATTCGCTGAATACGGCGAGATCAAAAACATCCACCTGAACCTGGACAGACGGACGGGGTACCTGAAGGTGCGGGAGCCGTTCGTGGGGTGGGAGGGGGGCTCACAGGGCCCCCAAAAAATAAAAAAGCATCCGGGATCTGATGGTTCCATGTCCCACCCGCAGGGTTACACGCTGGTGGAGTATGAGACGTACAAAGAGGCGCAGGCTGCCATGGAGGGGCTGAACGGGCAGGAGCTGATGGGGCAGCCGGTCAGCGTGGATTGGTGCTTTGTCAGAGGGCCCCCGAAGGGAAAGAGGAGGTAATGATGGAGGAGAAGGGATGGGGGGGGGTCTGTGCTGGGACAGAAAGCCTTAAAGTTTTGGCTTCACCAGAGGAAGGTCGTGCTTGACCAGTCTGGTGGCCTTTTATGATGGAGGGACGGCACCAGTGTCTGCACCAGAGAGTGGTTGGGCACTGGAACGGGCTGCCCAGGGCAGTGGTCATGGCAAGATGCTTGTCGGAGTTCCAGAGGAGTCTGGACAGTGCTCTCAGACGTAGGGTCTGATTTTGGGGCAGTCCTGTGTGTAGCCAGGAGTTGGACTCGATGCTCCATGTGGTCCCTTCCAACTCAGGATAATCTGTGATTCTATGATCGGTGGACGAGGGGAAGGCGACCGATGTCGTTTACCTGGACTTGAGCAAAGCCTTTGACACGGTGCCCCACCGCATCCTTATCTCCAAGTTGGAGGGATGTAGATTTGATGGGTGGGCCACTCGATGGATGAGAAATTGGTTAAAAGGCTGCAGGCAGAGGGTGGTCATCAGTGGCTCCGTGTCCAGTAGTGAGCGGCGTCCCCCAGGGGTCTGTTTTGGTGCTCTGTAACATCTTT